AAAAAAGAAGAAAAAGAAAAAAAGAAAAACAATATATATATATATATATATATATCCTCATGATTTTTTTTTTCCATGTCACGTTATCTTTGTATGGCATATTTGCCTCAATAAGAGATGTTTGGTGAGGTAGGTGAGAAATTCACACCACTCAAATTATTTACTACTCAACTCGAAAAGTATTGAAAACTTGTAAATTAAATGGAGTAGGGCAGAATGTCATCATGTGACTGGTAGAATGCTTAATTTCATTTTGGTGCGGAGTAAATAACAGCATCATTTTGTAATTAATGTATAGGAGTACATTAAACATTTAAAGAATTCAGAAATTGAAGGAATTGGTTTTCAATGTGCGAAATAAAAAAGGAATTTAACAGCAGAATCTCTTTTACTCCATATTATCTTTTATGTACCTTTTTTGGAAGAATTTTTTTTTTTTTTGGGAAAAAAAAGGAAAGTTTTTCCATTGATTTATAAAGAATTTTAGGAGAATATTTACTTCTTCTATACTTAAATAACGTAAAATATGCAGTCTTTTTTTTTTTCTTTTTTATGAAAAATATAAAGTCTTTTCTTGGTAAGGTTCAGGCGATATGAGAAACCAAAAACAGATATAACAATCTGAATGAATTCAAAATGGATCTAAGATTACCTCAAAATCTAAACTGCAGGGGAAAACTTCTAATTTAACGTCAACATTGTTCTCCTAACAGTTGCTTCTAAATAGAGATGGAAATATTCAATTGTTCCCACTTTTCATTTTCTAGATATTATTGGGTTAATGTGAAGGATGGTCAACCAACTTTATCAAAATTAATATTTTGGTCACTGCATTCATAACCCTAACAAAATGCTCACCACATTTTGCAAACATTAATATTTTGGTCACCCAATTCATAATCCTAACAAAAGTCATCCAACAAAAAGCCACAATTCAGACTAGCAGGAATATGCCAAGCACCATTTACATAGTTGGGCAACTAGCTTTTGAGATGAGGAAACTAAAAGCCTAAACTAAGTCCAAAATTGTTGTTTTTGTTGTCGTTGGCTAAGCCTCCTCATTTGGAGAAAACTTCATATGCAATATAGTTTTTGTCATCAGATGAAAAGAGTCATGGACGATGTTTCATTTTGTTGACATAAAAAAAAAAGGATGAAAAGAGTAATGGGACATTGTTTTATATGCCATAGGGTTTGTCAATTAGTAATGAAGACATCTATTATACACTAGTATCATGTTTGTTAAATAACAATTCGATGCCTTCAGTCCAAAATAGTACATAGGGAAACCCCAATCTTTATTAATCAAAACTATTGAATATCTCCTAAATTGAAACTATCAACTTCTTCACTATAAAAGTTGGAAACCTAAATTTTTAAAAGGTTTTGTGTTTATGTTGAATGCTCTTCTTCATTATTAAATTATTTTCTAGAAAAATTTTCCCAAAATAAAGTTTAATATATAGAGACTAAAACAAGATAGCTACTTAGGCATTGAGGTGTAAACGTAAGAGTAATTGTATGTTTTGCCTAATAGGGGAGGAGACACATTTGCATTTGTATTTTGCATGTCCCTTTAATAGAAGGCTATTATGCACTAACTTGGTGTCGCTAGAAGACCATAGCCATGGAATAAATAAGCCAAATGGATTCTGAAAACTTGCAAGGGCAAGAGTATAGGTACAAGGAAAATTCAATTAGGTTTTGCTTGCATTATATATTGCTTCCATTGTATATATGATTTGGCAAAAGAGAAACTAAAGACTTTTCTAGCAGAAAACCAATAACTTGGAGCTTATTATTAGGCACATTATTCAAATGATTATTATCCTAGTGTCTTATAACTATGGTTATAGTATAGAACCTATTAATTCTTGATTCTATTATATTGAGAACTTTTCACTTAGGTACACCCAAGGTATAGATGTAATTACTTGATTTCGGTTCTTTTTAGATGAATGAAGCCAACCATTCTCCTAAGAAAATAGTTTTTTTTTTGTCTAATTAAAAGAATTATTATATTAGACTTGAACTTATAGCTTAATTGGTAAGGTATACTTTCTTCTAGTCAAAAGTGGTAGTTTTAATCTCTCATCCCTCAATATCTAAGTAGAATTACAATACTATTTAAATAAGAAGAAATGCATTGAGATTAGTCATATATTCTATTATGGTTAGAGAATGATAGAATCACTGACTGCAATGGTTAATGACCATGGTTTTACTAACTAGGTTGATAAATTTTTTTAATAATATTGCCAACATGAGTAATACAAACTAATTTTATCAATTGACTTTCAATTATTGATGTTATTTCATGAATTGTTTGTTGATTATTATATGCTAGTTTTCTACAAAAAAAATAAAACTTTATTCATAAAAGAGAAAGTTACACGTACTAATTTCTTATAAATATTTGAAAGTTATAAAAAGTTAAGACATAGCACTAATAGTAGTAAAGAGGGTCATCTACTATTAGTGATCACAAAAGAAATTGATTCAGGGAAAACAAAGCAACTTAGATAGGAAGGTTATCTTGTTGAGTGATCAAAGCTTTAGAAAAAATTTCACTGAAATTGCCTGCTACAAGGAGTAAAGTTAAAAACAAGAAGTTACAAATCCCCACCCATCAATTGTAGGTCCCACCATAAAATAAACTATTGTACAAAAGGATCCAAGTCCCCCTTTGTCATTGGCATTGCAATGCTAGAGTTATCCAACATGATTTTAGAAGCCCTCTTAATCTCCACAACACTAGCACTACCCTTTTTTTTCCCTTTCAAAGTCCTTTTTGCTAAGAACTTAGGAAGAGAACTAGGCTTTTTTCAATTCCCTTTCATTTCCCTTGCCTGTAGAACATCTATTACCCCTCTTCATCAAGTTAGTTTCTTCCTCAATGAGCTATCTTAACGGGACCTTAACCAATTAGGCATCCTCCAAAATTTTCTTTTAACCATGCTAATTTTCATCCCCATTTTCTAATATCTCCTAACTATTGACCTTTGTGTTCCTTTTGCTTCAACCAACTAGATCAACCTAGTCCTTTCCTCTCAAGCTTACATTCGAATATACCTAATGACCAAGAAAAGCATCCTTTCTTCGCTTTGTCTTTCCAAAGAAAGAGATAAATTAGGGTTGATTGAAGAAACCATCTTTACAATCTCTAGTGGCATCCAAAAATCCTCCATCTCAACCTTGAGCCACTAACCATAACGCTAAATGACTTTACCACTACTTTCGTTGATTTGAAAGCCCACCTCACAATCACTCCTAATATGACTCATGCAACCACAAATATAGTAGAAATCAAGCAACCATTTATATTTGAGATGAAGCACCATGGTCTCAATCATGATAATCATTGAAGTGGTAAAGCATATAAGTGCGTTTTCCACATATATACTTATTCGAACATGTAAAGATTCTTATGACTTTCATGAACCTTAGGTACTCTCCCCATAGAACTACCAAGTCTAAGTCCCACATTTTTAGTATGTAAACCCATGGGAAGGTCATGTATATGAACCTAGAATGGATTCTATCTAAAAATTATTTTTCTCCAACAAAAAAGTTGAGTCAAATATCTTCAAAATCATAAGAGACTTGTTAAATTCCAAGATGCTTGTTGTAGAACCTTGTCCATGTCAAATATATTCAAGAACTGCAAAAGATATACCTTCTCTCTAATTTCACTAATTTGGATAGCATTCCTAGATTTTCAATACTGAGCCATCACATTATGGAACCTTGTAAGCTTAACTCTTTTTCTATTCTGCACCTTACACACCAAGTTCAAAGACTCCTTAGCAATCGAACCCCAATTTTGTGCAAGTAAAATTTTGACTCCTTCTTACTTTAATAAGCAAATGTTCACAAGGAGGGAACCCAACTTAACTTGTCTTTCAGTGACACCCTCACAATTACACATCACTAGCTAATCAATAGGCCACCAACCATAAACACCTAACAATAAGAACATGCAAGTACTAAACCAACCACAACAAAAAATTAGCTTGATAGCCCCATGTCCCCTACCTTAGCATGCAACAGTTAGGGTAGTAGTCCTTTACGAATAATCTCACATATATTGTAAATAGGAAACAAACTAGTCTCACACATAACAAACTAGAGGAAACTCGAGGAGAAATCTTGTAACTAGTGGCTAGGGCACCCACATGAGTATTATAGACCATTTCAGTGGTTGATAATTATCAAATTTTCTTTAGTGAAGGAAACTTATAGAATTAATTAAATTTAGGGACCAAATAAGAATTGTTCAAAAAGTCAATAGATAGAGGACAAAATAGTTCTAGGCTGAAGAGAAACCAATCATTTACATACAAAGATTAAATGATGAAAATTCACTACTTTTTCTTTACTATTACAATTGAGGCTTAGCCCCTTTGTAAGCTCTTAGAATGTCTGTCTTTGAGACCATTAACCCCTCACTTTGTGTGTTTTAGTCCCTAAACTTCATGTTATTGTTGTAATTAGCCTAAAATAGATAGAAACCTATCACATAAGTTATGTAGCCATCTCTACTCCATTATCTTATCCTCGTCAATGTCATGCTAGCATAAATATGGTCCACTTGGACCCTTGTAGGTGAAAAAATCTAGCTTGAAGCACACATGGATCTCATCTTGGATGAGATTTTTCCTCCCTCAATAGGTCCAAATAAACCATATTTGTGCTATTATGGCATTGAAGATGATAGGGTAATGAGGTAGAGATGGCCATATGACTCACATAATGAAATTGTATCTATTTTGAGTAAATTATAGTAAAAATGTAAAGTTTATAAGATAAAACACAAAGTATATGTTAATGAGTAATGGTTTAAAAAACAAATAGTTAGAGGACTTCAAATGGGTTAGCCCTTATAATTGTGGGAGGACAGGCCTTGAGTGGCCCAATGGTTATCAACCAAGCTTACCAAAGTCTAGGAGGCTTACTCCTTCCCTTATATAACTGCCGCAAAAAAAAAAAAAGAACTGGGGAGGAGAACCCAAGTAATTTAAAAACCAGATAAAATTCAATTATTATTTTGTCAGATAAAATTCCATTTTATCCACATATCATATAAAATTAAAATACTTATGTGGCAGAATCTAGTAAAATGCCTCATGTAGGAAACTAGATATATATGTTCTCTCACGTGTTGGAGACGGACCCGGCTCCAAAGATCATGCTCTCTGCTTCTGCTCAGAAAGGCATGGGAAAGATCTTGGGCACCAAAAGACTGCATGCATCCAAAACCCATGTATTGTTCACAAACAACCTCTCCTTTTCCTCTGATTCTTTTCTCCTTTGTAAGATTCAATCAACATTGGTGTAATTTCGGCTTTTGCAGGAGAATTTGGCCGTGGTGCCGCCATGGCTGACGGTGATGTATAGCACAGTATTTTTCAGTGCTTGCATTCTACATCCCGAGGAAAAGAAGAATGAGTTGGATCGTTTCTGCATCGATTGTCTTCAGTCCTTCTGTTCCCATTGCCTTCCAGCCCATGCTGTTCACAAAAATTTCAAGGTTTCTATACCTCTCCTACTATCCTCTTCTGATTTCCTTTGCTCTAACTATAAAGAAAAAATTCTAGAAATAGGAAAATTAATTGGTTGTATGGGGGGATTTTGAAGATTCGGAGATATATCTACAGCGACGTGATCAATCGTCAGGATTTATGCAAGCTGTTCAATTGTTCAGGCATACAAGTAATTCTCTCTCTAATTAGTCCTTTCGTGTTTAATTTTTCATCTTTTGTTTCTTTAAAGAGGATATATATACACACATAAAAAATTCTATATCTTTCAGGTTGCATAATATAAATTATTAAATTAGATATATCTTAAATATAAGAGTTTTTAGTGTTAAGTTTTAATTGTTAAAGATTAACTTAAATATATATTAAGAATTTTTTAATTTATAATTTAAATTATACAATACTATTGTAATAGAAAACAATGCAACTCCTTAGTTTAAATGGACTGAATTGTACGGTTAGATATTTTTTTTCCAGTATATTAAAGAAGACAGTTTTTTGTCGAAGGAATGTCATTGGTAAGAGTAATGCATCCAGGACCGACGGTGAATTATACAAGGGTCTCAGTGATGAAGTCAGAAATAATAGTCATAACGCCCATTTATTGTGATGCATTAATGGTCTAACTAATCAGTTTCGACTAAATAAATAATGCATGAACTACCATAAAAGAAAAAAAAAATGAATGAACAAATCTTCTGTGGCTGTTAATAGTTAAAGGGATTTCCTTACTCTTTGCATTTAGGAAACATGTTAAATTTCATTAATTATATTATATAAAATTAAATTTATATAAAATTTTATATAATATTTAAATAAAATAAAATATAAAATATAATATTTATATTCAAATTAAATTTATAAAAGGATATGAATCTATTATGAAAATTTATGTAAAATTAATTAAAAATACTGTAATTAATGAATCTTAATATGTGTCCTAATTATGGGTACAAGACAATCCGTAGTTAATTTACATGTAATTTGGCATTATTGTTTTACAATTTTTTTAATTTGAGCTCTAAATGTAATTATTGTGCTTTTTATATTAATTAATATTAAAAAAATTAACATTTATTTAATTAATGATTTAATTAAAATGATCTGTACAGCACTAAAGTGAAATTTATAATAATTTTTGTATTTTTTAATATTAATTAACCTTAAAAAATATAACAATTACGTTATTAATTTGTGCCTTTAAGACACTAATTAAAACAACAATTATTTTTGTATTTGAATCAATTAAGATTGTGAAAATTTTCAAATTTGTCGGTTCGAGCCTCAAGGAGAGGCAACTTATTTTATTTTTTCTAATTATATATAGGATGAAAATGTTTGCCATTCACAGACTTATCTCACAAACAAAGCCAAAGTGCTGTTCTTGAAGCAAAGAACTCATCCCTGCCAACAACAACAAAGTAATTCAAAGGATTACAGCTGCTACTGCATTGTCTGCGACAAAAGCTTGCAAGATATCTCATCACTCTATTGCAGTATTGCTTGCAAGGTTGGTTTTTCTCAAGCTTGGTATGAGGATTTACTTTACTTCTTGGATTCTTGGGGAGTTTAACTCCTACATTTCGTAGGATCTTCGGAATGTGGCTGTACCTATTTTTAATCATAGTGTTTAATGGTATGGTTAAATGAATGAAATGATTAGAGGACAAAGTAAAAATGCAAATAAAGATGTCAACTTTATACTTTTTTCTATTTAAAGATGTTAACTTTGTTAGTTTCTAAATAAAAATGTCTAACTTTCAATTTTTTTTAAATAAAGATGTTAAGTTTGAACTTTTTTTATTTAAGAATGTTAACTTTCAACTTTTTCTATTTAAAGATTAATTGGGTGGTGATGCCGATATGGCTAACATATTTTTTTAGGTTAAATACCTGAATTGGTCCCTCAACTTTTATTTTTGAACCAATCCACCTTTGAACTTCAGAGAGTACTGAAAACATCCTTCAACCTCAATTTTCAGCACCAATTTCGTCATTCCGTTAATTAAGTGCTGATGTAGCTAATTTTTCCGCTAAGTAATTGACTATTTTACATTTTCAATATTATGTGGGAAATCCATCATGTAAAAGATGATTATGTGGATTTTTTAATTTTAAATAATTTAGAAATTACTTTAATTCTTAATTTTACTTTATTTATATTAAAAATCAAAACAATTAATATGTTTTCCCATTTAATTAGTCCCACCTACCATAAGTAACTCTTAATTTATAAAGAAATAAATTAACTCTTATTTAATTTTATTAAATCAAATCTCACATATTATAATTATTTTCTAATTCATGGAAGAATCAATTAACTTTTATTTAATTTTATTAAATGGAATTTAATCATGGAAGAATCAATCAGGAAATAATTATAGTTTATTTTAATAATTTAAA